CTTAGCTGGTTCTCACTTTCTGCGTGATTCAAGTCTCGTCTCTCGTCTCCAGTCTCCGGTCTCAGCGTTTCGTTCTCATACTCGGTCTCGTTTCTCGGTTTGGGCTCCTTTCTCGTCTCTCGTCTCTCGTCTCTCGGCCGTTCCGGTCGCTCTCTCGTATCTCGTCTCCCTCGTCTTCGGTCTCGGTTCCATCGTTTCCCCTTATCTTTACATTTCATCTTTGATCGACCGCTTTGCTATACCATAGCGTCAACCTTGCACTCGCATCCCTAGCCTTTTACTATAGCCTCTTTCCGGCTTTAGCAAGTAATCAAGTGTGAAGAACAGCTGCTTGCAGAGGTAGGTCGTGATTCAACAGGGAGGGGCTTCCTCGACTTTCACGCAAAGTCGAACTTCCGTGACCCGCATCCCTCACCGACGATCATGACTGAAAGTATGCTTTGACACCGCAAAGCACCGCATGGATTCTTCCGTCAAGATTGAAAAAATTCATTAAGAAAGTCCTCCTTCGAGTGTCGAAGATCACTATCCGATCGACCCGCGAAAACTAAAGGGGCCGAGTTTGCGCGATCGAGAGCCGACCTCCTTGCGCGACTTTTCAACTCCAAATCAGCACTCGAAAGTGACTCCAACACAGTGACCACCATGTGATAGATCTCTCAAAAGTATTCATGTAGCTTGCAACATGCTTCGATGCGAGGTATATGGATTGCAGCAATGACCTGTAGGAAAGGGCCACATCGACCTAGATCATGTGTGCTGCGGATCACTTGGCTTTGTGATCTCGAAGACCGGTCCCGATGAAAATACTGCCTCAACAGGACCGCAATCTAGCACTGCACGCGTATGGGCAACTATATTCGAGTGTTCTGAGAATGAGAAACATCTATCTGCCGGATGGGGCTGCGAGAACGAGTCAATTACTCCTTACTAGTCTCTCGGCTCGGCGACCATCGAGCCTTTTTGCCGACAGTGCTAACTGGACGATCTTCTCCGCGCCATCACCATATCCCTTGACTATTTCAAACGAATGGTTCTGTACCGAGAAAAAGTCGTCAGATCGACCTAACAGAGCATTGCGATCATCGTCGAAAGTGACCGAACTTGTCCGCAAACGAAGTGCCGGCCGCAGTGAGTTTTCACCGACGATCTGTTGGAGAAAGCCAGCTCTCAAACTGTATCCAGGCCGCCAGATACCACTTGAGAGCTCATCTCATCTCGACTCCGGAGTAATCGGACCAACGATCTGCTCCCAGATCAGATGTGTTTGCCCTCAAACATTCCGACGCACCTCGTACATATTTTGGGAATAGCCTTTGAGTAAAAGATTGATGAGGGTACGAGTGTGCTCAGTGACCTGGACGAGTCGACCTTTTTGCCGCGGACGCCGGCCGACTCGCCCGGGCCCTCGCACCGAGTTCGGAGGTACTCGCTCTCTCTAGCTCTGAAGTTCCCTCGGATCCCTGTTCGATCTTCGAGTCTTGAAGTGCAACAGGTCGACTGGACTCGAGCAAATCGGAGACCGTCGGATCTCTCGGCCGAGCGCGCCTAATTAAGCTTTCCCGTCGCAGAGTCTGCCTGAGTTCAGCCGAGTTCAGCCGAGTTCGGTCAGCCAACGGCTCGACTTCAGAGTCGCGCGCGCCGACGCTCCTTTCCCTCTCCCCACTCACTCGCACCACTTGACTCGACTGGACTCGGCACTGATCGCACCACGCCACAACTCGACGTCACATGCGCCAGTCAATCCGCAAGATGCAACTCGATCTTCTCAACTTCGGCGCAACGTGTCACCTCAAGCCGACTGAGGTGGGCCCCGCGCTACGTCGCACAGCACGGTCAACATGAAGTCCAACACTGCCATCTTCAACACGATACGATGACCAGATCGATCCGAGAGGGCGTGGACCCTTTCAGCAGTGTCCTACCTTACGTCGATGCATCACTCGAGCGTACTCGGTCAGACACGTGCTCAGTCACCGCATCGCCTCGATCACCCCGATCGCCGACTTGCTACTCGACCGATGAGTGTGGGTGAGCTCTTCATTCACATAGTACCAAGCTCTCACTTCATTCGCTCACCTCGTGATCGTCTTTGCTGCTCATCACTCTAGTTCAGATCGCGCGTTGGCCGACTCGCTGGCATCCGAGCTTCGCACCGAACCGCTCTGTGACTTGTACGACCATACTCTGCGATCACAATGCGACTTCCTCGTCAACACCATCGAGGAGTCGCTCACCCTTGCCCAGGTCTCGAATCGATGCAAATGTCACTCGACCAATATCGCCGCACCTCGAACACCACTGTCGACCGGTGGCGATCTCCCCCGCCAACTCCACATCGTTCACTCTCGTCGTCAACATTGACCGATCACTCGAGTGCAATCACTCGCTGTCACATATCTTTCTTTGAATCGAAGAGTCTCATCGACGCGGGAAGCTCTCGGAATCTGTTGGAACATGTATTGCACGACTCGGCAAGCATTCGCTCGATGCCCGTTCGAAGCTTCGCATCCATCATCGACCTTCGGTCCGATTGATCGATCAACCGACCGAACTGGCAAATTCTCCAGCTCGATCTCGCCCCCTGTCCGTGCTCACCCCATCACCAAGACGTGCGAAGTAACAACCCGCTCGCCCATCGCGATGGCGACCGCCTCAACCGTCGACCTTCAACTCGATCGACATGGACTCACGGTCATCAACTGACCTGACCTACTCATCATGAGCGCCGACCCCACGATCGCCCCATTCTCGAATCCTATGGCAATTCACCTATCGATACGATTCACCTCACCTCATCTTGTTCTGTGTCGCCGTACCCAGCTCGACACTATCCCGTGATCTTCGCATCCACACCGGCGGGTCAGCTCGATCAATCAGGACCCCAGTCTGGTATGCTCTCCTCTCCAACCCGGGTCTCCATCGTCTCGAGTCCCTTCAATACTGACGCGTTTACAAACACTCATCTGTGTTTCACAGCATTGCCCCGACATTTTGCGCTAGATCCGACTCGCACGTCGCCCATCCTCAGCTTCGCACCGACTTGCTCAAACATCGCCCCCACCCCATGCCACGAGCTTGGATTCAATACTACGATCGCCAATACGACTTCGCTCGACCCGAGTTCTGTCATTTTCTTGGGATCAGCTTGACTCTTCGGCGCTCTTTTTGGCTGGCTCGGCACTCGAGCCATTTCATCGAGCAGCTTTGTCTCGGCTCGAACCGTTCGGCACTCCGATGATCAGCTGGACCCGTCCATCTCTCAGGCAACTTGCTTCAGTTCTATCAAAGCGACGATCAAGCACTATTCGATGGACGATCAAGCACCAACTGACATGGGTCCGCCTCGATGTGCCCACCCTGCCCGAATCGCCACTCCAACTCGCTCGGTCAACTCGAGCTCTAACTCAACCATACTTCGAACGTCGACAGCCCTTCCTTTCTGACAGCCGTCGCGACGGGACCACGTGCTCGACCACCGACGACGGGCTCAGACCGCCCACAGTGCACAGTGTAGATTGATGGTCACGAACGACCCGGACTAGGAGCGCTCCTTCGAACGGAACTTCGCAGCGATGCTTACAAGCTCGCACGCCCAGCATTTGAGCCCGCAGATCACCATCCCTCGGTACCTCTCGCCACCAGTTTGAAGCACGAGTGCGTCGATGTCGAGATGGGAGACCCGCATTGCCTCAAGCACTATCACCCCGTCTCGACCCCGCCGCGACTCACTCCATCGCCGGCCCTCGTGATCCGGCTCGTCGAGTCATCCGTCCACACCACTAAGCGCTACGTTTCACCTCATGGCACCTCAACATCTCACATTCCCGCTCGTCTTCCTTGCCGGTCAATTCGACCGGACTTGCACGCTGACTCTCAACCTCGTCGATCGCTCCGACCGATCGACTTCACGGCAAAGCTCCTGAGATGTGCCACGGAACACCTCCTCATTGCTTCACATCTTACTCGAACTCTTTATTACGTTGTGCACGTCGAGCATAAAGTCCCGACTCGGGCTTCTCCGGACCACTCGGCGCTCGATTTCAGCGTCGGATCGTGACGATCCTTCGTACTCTCAATCGACCTCGGCGATTCGCTCGACCAGCCTGATACGTACCATCCCACCTCGGCGACTTGCATGTTTGTACATGCTTCACCAACTCTGGACATGCGGTCATGGACTGCGCTCAACCACGCACGGTGTTCCAACCCTTCTCTCTTCGCTTGTCACCTCGCTTGGTAGCGACGCACTCGTTTGGCAGTCACTAAGCGCGCAAACGTCCGAAAGGTTAGTGCATGGCCTCAACCTGAAGTCCTTCCCTCCCTCCACTTCTCGTGTTGCAAGTGTGTGCACTATTGCTCATGTTTGACGGTTGATTTGCTCCACCAGGTCTTTGATTTCCGCCTGCGCTCAACTCGACTTTTTGGACTCCGAATCACTCGCAACCGTTTTAAGTCCGTCTCCCGGCAGAATGCTCGTCGACTCTTTCTACTTGAGGATCCAGACTTTTTCGGCAGGACTTGCTCTGCTCGACGGAGATCTCCTCTCCATCGGCCCCGACCTCAAAACTCAACTCGGTGCGACAGATCACTCGTCGACGAGTATGCAGGCTCTTGTCTTTGTCGCTGCTGTCTCCGCCACCCAAGACTCGATATTTGCTGATGTCCTATGTCCTGTGCGAGGAGGCTTCTCCAACCATCCGAACTCTTGTGGGTGACCTAGCGCCCTGCCGGCTCGCCTCGAGATTGAGAACGAAGGTGTCACGAATGGGAGTTTCGCCACTCCAAGTTCGGCCTCTCAGCACCCACGTCATCCGCGTGACTTGGGCCTTCCCGCGCTTCGGACCTCCTCTCCCCGCTTCGGCACCTGCACTGCCTTCTTCTCCTCCAACTATACGCTCACAACCCTCTCGCCCCCGACTCTTACGTGAACATCAACCAAGCTCTATTACGTGATCCTTGGCCTCAACACTATTACGTGATCCTCGTGCCTCGCCTCCTCAAGCTCGCCACCTCGTCCCCGACTCCTCTGGTCTAGTTTCCCAGTTCCGTAGCTCACTTCTCTCTTTCCCTTCTGCAACTCGAATCTCGTCAAAGGTCACATCCTTGCACTCGTCCCTCGTCCTCGCCTCTTGTGAGAAGTCCCTAGAACACCTCTCAACTCGTCACTCGCCCTTGCCCTCGTCTCGAGCCCCTTCGTCCGGCTCACCTCTCCTATCTTCGTCCTTCGTGATATGGACGCGCTGGAACTCGCATACGGCATCAAACGTCTCGGACCTGCCGAATATATTCTAGGCATCCAAGTCAAACGTGGACAAGACGGCTCTATCACGCTCTCACAAGAGCGCTACCTTCGGGACATCCTTGCCAGGTTCCAATTCACCGATGCCAAGCCGGCAAGTATTCCAATGCAGCCAGGTGTCGTCCTTGACTTCGAGGACTTGGCGGCCACTCCTCAGGATCGTACGCGCTACTTGCAGGCCATCGGTTCGTTGATGTACGCCGCAGTTGGAACTCGTCCGGACCTCGCCTTCGTGGTCAGCTACCTCGCTCGCTTCTCCCAGCAGCCTGGCCCGGAGCATTGGACAGCCATCAAGCAGGTCCTCCGTTACATCAAAGGCACACTGGACTTGGGCCTCACCTATCGCAAGACCAGCCAACCAATCCGTGGCTACTCGGATGCGAACTGGGGAGCCTGTCTAACGACCTCACGATCGACCATGGGCTACGCGTTCATCTTGTCCGGAGCCGCTATTGCTTGGTGCTCCAAACGCGAGCACAGGGTGGCCAAGTCCACTACCGACGCAGAGTACCTCTCTCTTTCGTACACAAGCGGTGATGCCATCCACCTGAGCGAACTCCTGGCTGAACTTGGCGCTCCGGTCTCCGGTCCAGTCGTACTCTACGGGGACAACCAAGGTTCGCTGGCTCTTGCGCAGCACCCGACCAACCATCAGGGGTCTCGTCATGTTCGCATCTCGGAACATTACGTCCGCGAGAGGGTAGCTGAGAAGGAGATCGAGGTCCGCTACATCGCCACCGGCGACATGATTGCCGATATTTTCACCAAAGCCTTGGGTCCCAAGCCGTTCATGTTCCATCGGGAGAATTTGGGTTTGCGAGGTGCAGTGGTATGACAGCACGGGGGGGTGTCAATATATTGCTGTTTCATCCCACTGGTATTCCCGATTATGATTAGTTACTAGTTGTTGATATTAGTCGCCCCGCGCGTCTCGAGCCTGCCTCGCGCGCGCTCCCTTAGCGCTTATCTTCTTTCTCCAACTATCTTTACTATCTTCATCGGCTCTCGTACTTACGCACTTCGTGCCTCGGCCTCAGTTCCTGAAAGTAAACGCAGTTGCAGCGGCGAACTTCTGCACGAAGATCGACCTTCAAGGTGCTTTCCAACAAAGTCGCATCAAGGACGAAGATGTGAAGAAGACCGCGTTCAGCACCCCTAACGGGATCCTGTACTCACTTGTCGCTCAACAAGGCGATCGCAACAGCACGGTTACACTACACCGGCTCGTCTCATTTGCTTTTGCTGGACTCATCAATCGCAAGATCAAACATTACGCCGACGACCTGTGGCCCATCTCTAATACCTGGGCCGAACACAAACGGGATGTCCGCGAGACTCTCGAGCGAGCCGAAGTCCACGGCATCCGCATTCCTATCTCAAAGTTCAAATTCGCTACAGAGATTCGCGACTCTCTGGGCAGGAAGATTCGCCCGGGAGAAAGCTCGATGCAGCCGGAAAAGGCGGCTGGCATCCGAGCTACCCCAGCTCCTAAGAACAAGAAGGATCTTCAACGTTTCCTAGGAGCGGTGGAATATAACCATCGATCAATCCCGCACCTTGCCGAGCTAGCGGCGCCCTTGGATGCACTGACAGGGGTGAACAGCCCCTGGAGATGGTCCCGAGCTTGCAGCGACGCTTTTGAAAGTATCAAGGCTGCATTTGACGACAGTGCCAAACTCACCTGCATTCGCTCAGACGAGCTTGCACCCGATGGTACCTTCCCGGTCCACCTAGACACCCCTCCCGGCCGAAGGAGAAAAGGTGCCAGAGAACGAATCCAAAGGGAAGTACCTCTTCCTCCAATTCGACACCTCAGTTACAGGAGTCGGCTACGTGCTAAGCATCCACGGGCTACCACTCGCGAAAGTTCTCGCCTTCCCAATTCAATTACAACACCCAGAACCAAGAGCTCCAGGGCATGTACGAAGGATTTCAACACTTCGAAACAAAGCTGCGAGGACGTCCATTCATCGTCCTCACGGACAGCCAGACTCTTGCGAAGTTCACAACACTCCCAACGCTGTCTAGAAAACAGACGCGCATGTATCTCTACTTCTCGGAATTTGCATACACGGCTGAGCACACCGCAGGCAAGGCGAACGCCATGCCCGACATGTTATCGCAACCCCCTTGCGATGCACCCACCTACCCTGACCCATGGGCCCCGAAGTATATCGGGCCTTTCACCTGCCTCGGGTTTGACCCAGCCAACTCGACGTACAAGCTTGCCCGAGTCCCGGAACGCTGTACATCTCGCGGGATCCGTAGCACGTTCCACGCATCCCAACTCAAGGTTTTTAAACCTTCAGACGAATCCCGATTCCCAAACCGACTCGTTGACTCAGTCCCGGTCTACCCGATCGACTTACCGATGGCCATCGCATACGTACTCAACCATGAACTC